CTGTTATATAGGATGTTTGGGAAAGGCAAACAAAGACTCTATAAAGAGAGGTGTGTGTGTGTGTAAAGAGAAGGAGAGGGAGGGAGGGAGAGACAATTTGATAAACCACTGCAATCAGCTTCATAAATTAAGGGAAATATTTTTTTCAACATCTTTCACCTAAAGGGAGTTAAAGGCAATGTATTCTGAAAAAAATGATAAACTTGATTTCTAGATCTGAATAATTAGATTTACTACATTAATTTTCTTTAAAGAGAACAGCTACGATTTCCTTTTCTAGTTTTATTTTATTTTCATGGGTGAAAATATTTTTTTGCCCTGCTTTTGATATCTCTAATATTAAGATCTTCAACTGTTGACCAAAGTGGAGAAAAAAATGGAATGAAATAAATATGCTTGCATGATACAAATGACAACTCTTTTTTTCTACTGTGTTTTACACAATATGAAACACACAGTGATCTGCCTTGAAATCAAAGCTAATATGTCTGTTAAAAAAAAAGAATGGAAACACTGCTTTAATCGATAAGAAACTATAGGCATAGTGCCATCAGGGTTTAGTTTGCTTTAGATGATAAAGCACCTTTATTTAAAAGCAGAACAAAATGGAAGAAAACAGTCTTTTCTTAAAACAAGATATTTCTTTCCCTCATAACTCATCAGCTAATTCTGGATATAAATGTTCAGCTGTATGTTTCATTCTAATCTGAACTTGAATCTTGAAGGTGATATGTTCAATCAGGAAATTTCCACAGACGTAAAAAAGAGCATACATGCTCAATGGGCTGTTTATTAGGAAACAAATAGTGACAGACAAGGCCAACTGATGCTCTAAGCACAGCCCAACAATGGTGTCCTTTGGCCATTTGTGAAGACTCAAACTTCTAAACTTTAGTCACTCACCATGCCAAAGAAAACCTTTTTAACAATGCAGATTAATGTTGAACGTGGCAAATAAAAATAATTACCAAAAAATTGACTAAAGTTGAGTGGCAGTGAAAGGGTTAAAGACATGATAGTTTTGGGGGGGGGGGGAATTCTGTGGTGTCTCCTTTCCTTGGTGCCCTAAGCATGTGCTTATTTTGCTTAATGCTGATCCAGAGCTGGCAACCAAGAAATTCAACTTCTATTTGTACTTTGGCTCAGGAACCCATCTTTGCTGTGGGAAAATGAAACAAGTGAGAAGAATAAAGCCAGGGAGAAAAGCAGAGGAAGAATCCTAATTGATGATTTAGAAAGCTACCTAACTCATCTAGTAATTAAACATTGTTGTTCCACAGAGGGTGTCAATGCTATAATACCTGCCAGTTCACAGCCCTAGAAGCCAAAGTTTAAAGCAATACCTCATACTAATAAGTTTGATCAGTCTCAGACTTTATGTAAATGACAGAAGAAGACTAAATAATCTATAACTTCCATAACTGCTTTTTTTGCTCCAGGGATTAAAAGACATCCTTTCCTCTATTTCATGCTAAACTTTGTAGAATCTGATAGATTCCCTCATATCCTTCAACCAAAGTTCTATAATCTGGGCATCAGTTGCCCTTGACTAGGCAATCTTTACCAGACTGAAAGCAATGTTTTCAAGCAGGAAGTTCAGAATAACATGATCTCTAATATCTTGAACCAAATCCAACCCAATAGTCTTTAAATTATTATAGTGGCATTGGACTTCCTAATAACAGCTACCAACGTCATAGAGTTAATCAATAAGCTTTGTCGTAACATGATAGATTTCCCTAAACAATCATTATCAAACCAATATTAAGATAATGAACAGTGGGAATATAAATAAATAAATATAGGTTTATTTCAGCATTTCACCATGGCATATATAGCCCCTCATTTCTAATGTCTAAGCCTCATTTCATATTTACCCAGTGTCCTTAAAAATCTTTCTTCCATGCTTCATTTGTACTGTGCATAAGAAGTCACAGACTAGATGTGACTTTATAGATTACAACACAAGCTGAGGATATGGTTAAAGAATCATTCCTGAAGGGTTACAAAATAAAATTGCTTTTGAGTTATGCTTGATTTCTGGTGACACATGGACCCATCCATACAATTATCATATGGAAGTACTTTGTTATTTCTCTTTTCTCAGGAGGTTTAACTTACTAGTTTAGCCTACAAACAATTCATTCCAGCTGTTCCCCCATTCAAGTACTAATTAAGATCAAGTTTGCTTGCTTAACTTTCTAGATTAGCCAAGATCAAGTACCTGCTAACATATAAATCCAATTCAGACAGAAATGTTAAAAGGGCTTGATGAAAACTGTGATGATTCAGGGTGGTTTTTAACTTACTCAGGTCAGGATAGAAGTGTCTAATATGCCTGTTTGTAATTCAGAATCCTCTATTGAGCATAATTAATGTTTTGTACCTTAAAGTTTAGGATGCTGAAAAGAATGGGGCATCATGCTCCATGCCAAAAAGCAATATTAACTTTTGGTACTTGTTCACATAACATCATGGTGCAGAGGAGAATTAGTTTCATTAATATTTGCAGTTGCTGCAATAATAGCAAATTAATTGCCCAAGATCACTTTTTTGTGTGATTGTGAGTACTCAAATTAACTTTCTTGAAAACAAAGTTTAAATTAACATTATTAAGAAAATATTAATGCATTTTCCTGTTTTTTTCAAATCTGAAAATAAGGTCTTAAACTTTTCTTAAAAATAATAAACTTATTAAAATAAGATTAAGCTTATCTCAAGCTTTCATAGGTTCAGAAACATTTCCTTATAAAATGACTGATTCCAAATGCAGGAAATAAAAGTAATTGCTCAATTCACTTGTTAACTTTCTTAGACCTTCATTCCTTCAGACACATTATAATAACTTCTAAAAGCAAAATGCAGCATTCAGATACCCTCCAAATTATTTAGTGAAATACTTTTGTAATGGTTTTCCACTTGTATAATGAAAATATAAAATTAACTCTGGAGAACATTTCCAAAATATATTTTGCAGGTATTGCACATTCAGTTCCTTGCAAGAAAAACTTGCATTCATCTCTACTTCATGCTAAACTTTGTAGAATCTGATAGA